CACGTATTTTTGCCTTCCTTTGTGAGTCATGAGAAGAAGGTTGCAAAAGAGGATCATGTGATGACCCAGGGTGGGATACAAAATAAACACAGTCACAAAAACAGGTAAAGTCCCTTTTATTCCTTCCCTTTGTTTTAATGCTCCAAATATCTTTGATATCGCCGTTAAGAAAAGGAGGAAATGCCATTTAAACTAAAAATGCCTATAAATTATAAAGAATAAAAACAACACAAACCACACTGAAGCAATTAAGGAAACCAGGCAAGATAAGGGCTTGAAGACGTCCACAGATATCGGAACACACACTGGGAAGGAAGCCAAACTCAGAGAGAACGACAGACGAGAGATATTTCCACGCTTTGTTTCCAGCACTGGCCCATATACCCTGTTTCTCCAACAATACGGCCTCCCCCAATAGGAAGTCCCAGCATGTTTTATAGGCATGAAATGAAATTAAGCCCCTCCCCCCAAATTAAGGCCTATATTAAAACATGCGAAATGGGGGAATGGTGGGGGGGGCTTGCCATTAGGAAGTACTTTTGTTGCATACACAGATATGGTGCTGCCTGCGTTGACCCCGATACGAAATGCCCCACCAACGCCGAGGTCAACATCCAAGCCATCGCCGCCTGCCCGAAGATGCAAGGGGGGGAATTAAGTCACCCCTGAAAAGACAGCCTAGCCATTTTTTCGGGGCTCAAAAAAAAATAAGACCCGGCCTTATTATATGAGAAACACGGTACATGTCCATCCTTTTAACCAGTTCTCACAGCTGCAGCCCATGAAGAGGATCAAGGCCCTTTCCTCCCCTGTAGACCACACCATTTATGTCTCTCCCTTATCCTCTGCTCCCTGTGTGCCCTAGGATGGAGAGGGGATGGGCCTGGGTCTTTCTCTGACTGCCCAGCCATCCTCTGTCCTTCCCCAGCTTCCTCCACAACCTCTGGAGCCACACTTCCACTCCCTGTCAGCTGTTCATCCTCTCCCTTGGAGTCTGTCTCCAACAGGAGCATGACAGATCAGGTGATCTTGAGACACTGCAACGGTCATAAATATGAACCAGCTGTCAAGCATCCAAATGTAAATCACATGACCATAGGGATGCTGCAATGGTCATAAGTGTGAAAAATGGTCATAAGTCACTTTTTCAGTGCTGTTGTAACTTTGAACATCACTAAATGAACTATTGTAAGTCAAGGACTACCTGTACAAGCTAAAAAGAAATGGGAAAAAAGAAAGAAAAACAATAGAAACGGAATTAGAAAAGAAATAAAAAATTATATAGTAAACAAAAAGAAAATAAATATATAAAAAGAAGTGACTTCTCCCTTTACCTTAAGTACAAGTAAAATTTTAAACGGATCACTTTTTCTTAAAATACAACTAATCTCTTCTTCAAATATTCTGTCTCTTACCTATAAACAAAGCCATGTAGCCCAGTTATTTCAGTCTGACGTCAAGATCCTTCAGTATGTTCAATATTGAAATATTTTGCTTTATTCTGTAAGTCAAATTTAAGTGTTCTCCTTTAATTATAAATCTCTAGTTCCCTCTAGTATCCAATTTTTATTTTATTTTATTTTTTTAAATTAAAAGCATTTTCCCGCTGGTAGAATTAGTTATAATTAATTTCAAAATCTTATTTCAAATTTGTCCCAACCTTTGTTTGTAATTTTCTAAATCAAAAGTTTTAATCATTCTTTACTGCTTATTTCTCCATTTGTAAAAAAAAAAACCAAAAAAAAAAAAAACCCTTAAACTTTTAGTTAAAACTTCTTTCACAAAGGATTGAAGGAGATTCAATGCTATGTTGATCCAAAGATCCCTAATAACTGAAAAAGCAAAAAAGGGGCTTCCGGTTTGAAGTCTCTTCGGCGACAGACAGAAATCCACGATCGTGTGCAGTTTCGGGGTGGGCTCGCCGCTGGAGCAACCCAAGCCGGCTGGTTTCGGGGCTAAGCCACCTCATAGAGGTGGTGAAGAGGGGGAGGGGGGAGACCACCAGCAGGGTTGAGGAGAGCCACATCTCTCCTCCTCAGCTGGCCATAACTCCCTTTCCAGAAGGCGGTTGCAGCGGTGGTCAGAAATGGCCACCTCAAAGAACTCGACCGGAAAAGAATGTGCAGGAGGTAGATAAGAAGTGAAAGTTTTGGCTGACCAGGTTAAATTGTAAAAGCAACAACTAAGGTACCCTGGAATTTAAACTTATAAAAAAATAACATCGCTCCCAAAGAGGAGTCGGAAGCAGCGAAGGAAAGTGAAAAGGGAAAGGTTTGGCTTTTTTTTTCTTCTCTCTCCTTCCCTATACTGACAACTAAGAGACTTAAATAAGAAATCGGAAAAATCCGCTTTGACATCAATAGGCAATTAAGCTGAAAATAAAATAAAATGCCAAAGGGATAATAAAGATTTCTGGACATTAAATTTTTTTTTTTCATAAGCAGGAAGGGAGAGAAAAAGAATAAGGGCAGGATCTGGAAGAGGGAGGAGACTGCCTGGAATTAAAAAGAATCTACAGTAAAACTTCAACAAGATTTCTAAAAGATACATTTTAACTGAAACTTTGTAACTAAACAGTAACCCCAAGAAGAGAAAGTGAAAAAAAAGAGCAAAAAGAAACAGCTTGCGTGTATTTGGATTATTTGGTGATCTTTGGATTCTTGGTTATTACATTTGAATGACTAAAATTAATCGGGTGGTTGTTTAAAAATTTATACAATGGCACCACTTCTGGATGAATTGAAAATGGAACTTAAAAAGTACAAAGAAGATGCACAAGAAGGGAAGGGTTCTTTTGGCGTCGTTTTTCAATTCTTAGAAATGGAGATTTGGAAACAACAAGAAATGTCTGCAAAACAAGAAGACTGGGACAAAGAAGAAGCCATCTTTAATGAACAAGTAATTTTATGTGAGGAAGAAAAAGGAAAGGGGGGAAAGAGAATGGAGAATTTAAGATTTAAAAAAACAACCAAAGAAAAGAAAAATAATTCAAAAAATAAGTATAATACTGGAAAGCAACAGAAAAGGGGAATACAGAAGAGAGAAATAGAGGTAGAGAGACAAGGGGGTAAAAGGGGGAGAGAGAAGAAGAGAGGGAAGAAGGAAAGGAAAAGTTACAAAGGACCGGAGCAAGATATAGAGAAACAGGACCTATTTAGAGATAATGGGTGAAAATCTAACTGAAAAAGGGATTCTGTAAAGGTATATAAGATTGTATTGTTATATTAGTAATAGAAATAACTTTAGAAAATTGGAAACAATGTATGATTAAAATGAGGTATAAAATAGTTAGTGTAATTTAGTGAAATGTTTGTTAATAAAATAAGTGAAATAAAATAAATGAGAAAATTGAATTAGGAAGGAACAGGAACATTTTAATTAGTTAATGTTTTATAAAATATAAGTGAAGGGGGGGGAATTAATTATGGAAAGCTTAAAATTGTTCCCATAGAAGTATATTTAATTGAAAAGTAATGTTAAAGAAGTTAAGACTTTAATGAATATTAATATTAATGATAGAATTGAATTGGAATGGAATGTGTTGTTTTAATTACATACATTTATATTTTTTTTCTTTTTTTAAGAATATAGTGTATATTTTAAGAATGTACCAAGCAGAATCCGAATGGAAGTTATGTATTATATTGAATGTTATAACTTTAGGGTATATATTGAAGCCTAAATAAGAATGGATAAACTTAAAAGATATAAAGGCGTCATACTCCAATCAGTAACTACAGGAGAAATTTTGTTTAATGAGAAAAGATAATAGATACCGTGTTTCTCATATAATAAAGCCGGGCCTTATTTTTTTTTGAGCCCCGAAAAAATGGCTAGGTCGTCTTTTCGGGGGTGACTTAATTCCCCCCCCTTGCATCTTCGGGCGGGTGGGCGGCAACAGCTTGGATGTTGACCTCGGCGTTGGTGGGGCACTTCGTATCGGGGTCAACACAGGCAGCACCATATCCGGGTGTGCAACAAAAGTACTTCCTAACAGCAAGCCCCCCCACACCATTCCCCCCCACCATTTCGCATGTTTTAATATAGGCCTTAATTTGGGGGGAGGGGCTTAATTTCATTTCATGCCTATAAAACATGCTGGGACTTCCTATTGGGGGAGGCCGTATTGTTGGAGAAACAGGGTAATTGAAACAGGACAGACAAAAAATACAAATATAATGATTTGAATTGAGATGAGATAATTAAAATAAAATTGAGAAAATTAAAAGAGGGGAGAAGCTATGCAAAAAATGTAAAATAGTAATAAGATATGGAATAGAATATAAAAATGAGCATGAACTTGAATTTGTGTCTGTACAAAGAAATGTAACCCGGGATTACGCTACTTTAAAAAAAGATGTTTTATTTGTATTTTTTTTCTTTTTGTGAAAACTCAAATAAAATTTACAAAAAAAAAAAAAGCAAAAATAGGAGGTCTTAGTGTCTTTTCAAAGATGCCAAACATGGCTTGAGCACGTTGATTATTTTCTTATCTCCCAGAGCTCTAAACCCAACAGAGATCACTAACTTGGAGGAATAGCTGTCTGAAGCATTTTAGGCAATCTCAAGTCCTTTCATTGTCTGGAAAGGAATTATTTCTAGTGATCCTCAGAATGTAGCACAAACAAATTCTTGGGAACGCAGAGCCCTGATCCAAATTTGATTTCTTGATCAGTTTAGAAGGGACTGGTTATTGGAAAATAATTTTGGCGGTGAAGTACAATGTCATGACAGTTACAGTTTAAGAACTCTGTATACCATATTTCCCCCAAAATAAGACTATGTCTTATATTAATTTTTGCTCTAAAAGACGCATTCTGGCTTATTTTCTGAGGAAATATGGTACTGAATGTGTTCGTCTGGCTGACAATCTTAACTGGGACTTATTTTGGGGGGTAGGACTTATATTAGGAGCATCCTATAAAACCGTGCTAGGGCTTATTTTCCAGTTGGGTCTTATTTTCAGGGAAACACGGTCGTATATTTATTATTAAGTAAAATTATTCTCTGTGTTGTCAGGACCAAACTCACTTTTGTATTGCATTATTGGTCTTTAAGACAATTTGTGTACATTTTTCTCATTTATTTTTTTCAGGTGCACTTACAATGTACATAAAATATTTAATTGTAAAGAAACAAAACGAAGTGACTCATTTTGTTTCCCCTTGTTTCAACTTATTGACATTGTACGTTGGAATTCTGGGTTCTATTGGATTGGGCATTGTTGCAAGTTTTCAGGTAAGTAAGAAAGATACATTTATATTTTATTTATTAAACTTATATCCCATTTCTTCTTCAATGGCTTACAAATGATTAAGAATATTATAGGAACATTAAATGCATTCATGTGACCAACCTTTTAAAATAACTTAGTACATATCAAGAAAGAATCAGAGCAATATACAAGTAGTTGTCAATTTACAACAGTTCATTTAGTGACCATTCAAAGTTACATCAGTGAAAAAAGTGACATACAACCATTATTCACACTTACAACCTTTGCAACATCCCCATGGTTATGCGATCAAAATTTGGATGCTTGGCAATTGGTTCATATTTATGATGGCTTCTGTGTCCTGGGATCATTTGCGATCTTCCGACAAGCAAAATTAATAGAGAAGCCAGATTCACTTAACTAACTTAACAACTGCAGTGATTCACTTAATAACTGTGGCAAGAAAGGTCGTAAAATGGGGCAAACTTCATTTAACAACTGTCTCACTTAGCAACAGAAATTTGGGGCTCAATTGTGGTTGTAACCCGAGGATTACTTGTGGTTATTTCCTTTTCCAGAGAAAGCATCAGTTTACAAAACAGAAGAATCAGTACAAATACAATATACTAGTACTTCCTGCAATGTGGTCACCTAGGTGGTAACTTGAGGCTGTCCTGTAGTCTAGAACTGATTGCAATCAGATGCTCAGTTCACTAGAGGTAATGAGTACATGTTCAGCAGAGGCTTCCCTCTAAACATGCCCTCCAAACAAAGACAACATTGGTGAGATACCAAGATACAAGATCCTTCTTTTCATTTGCTCTTAGCTTAATGGCATAATAACGCCTTTCCTAAATGTCTATGAAGATTCTCAATCATCCAGGTCATGGTTGTCCCCAAAGTGCTTTTTCAAGAGGCAACTGGACTTTCTGGTTTTACTTTGAAGATGTTTCGCTTCTCATTCAAGAAAAGCTGAAGGAGCTTCTTGGATGAGAAGCACAATGTCTTCCAAGAAAAAAACAAAGTCCAGTTGCCTCTTGAAAAAGACCTTTGGGACAATGCCTTTCCTAAATAATTTAAACTACAATAGATGTGCATATTATGTAAAACAAAACTCCAGATATGCATGTTACCGATAATTTTTTTGTTCTTGACACGAAATGGTAGTTTCCAAGAATTGCTTTGCTAATTCTCCAAATCTGCTTGAGATAGATGAGGGACTTTCTGAAACAGATTTAAGACTAAGCAAGGAGAAGTATACAACTGGAAAGATTACATAATATCAGCATTTGCAGAAAATTTGAGAGAGCAATAATGAAACTACATCCATGAAGTGATATAATTGTAAATTCTGTCTTACTCATTTCAAGAGTACAGATACGTTATTTATTAGTCTCACGGGGCCCATTTAATATGGGTCATGAAGAAGGCAAGTTATGCTTGGATTGAGTTGACATTTAAGTAGGATGGAAATGATATTGTTATAAACCTGAAGTTCGTGTTGAACTGTCTTCAACCTCAAACTGAACTATGTTATGAAATCATTCACAAAATATGACATAAACAAAAATGAGCTTTCAATAAATAAAATCAAGATTAAAGGAAACATCTGTGCATAAAACAATAGCCAATGTTGTATTTACAGTTAACATATAAACTGAATAAGATCTTTCTCTCTGCGTCCTCCAATTTCCCCAGCTACTTCCTAGTAAATCAAGTCAGTGGTATTTATTAAAAAAAATCTGTCCTCTTCACAAATTACCATACAGGTACTTAATACCTGATGGGACCCAGAAGAAGGGCCTTCTCTTTGGTGGCTCCCTCTCTCTGGAACATCATTTCCCCAGAGATTAGAATGGCCCCCACTCTAACTGAACACCTGGTTTTGCCAGCAGGTCTAGAGAATGCAGAGCGGGATGGAGTGCATTAAATGGCTGGTGGGATATGTTGTTGCCAGGGTGGGAGATTATTTTATTATGTTATTTTATTAATGTATTATTCTCTCTTTTATTAGTTTTACTGTTTTTATATTGTGTGTGTGTATTTTTTTTCCCTTGTAAGCTGCCTTGAGTCTCGTGCGAATAGGCAGCAATATAAATTTTCAAATAAAGTAAATTTCCAAATAAAATATCTCTACCCATTTCTGCCCTTTTGGCTGTCCTACAGTCTGTCACCACTGCCTTCTCCTACCATCCCCAGCTGACCAACATTATTGTTCTGCTTATTACTGTCTGGATGGGTATAAAGCAGACAGAGCAACTCCACAAAGCATCCATACAAAGTATTTTTATTGGTTCATCAGACATCCTTATCAACTCACAGTTATGACAAGGTTCTTCTTAATGTCCAATCCTTTGCATATCTGCATTATAGTAAATGTAGTTAAGGTATCCTGGGAAATGTAGCCCATGTTTTGTGATCACATCTGTAATCCTGATTGGTTACTAAATTGACCCTTGTTGGGTTGGGGGAAGCTCCCTCACTCTTGCCTGAATCTATTACCATGCAGCTGCTTCAATCATCATGGGGATGAGAGTTTATTTTTCTACACCATAATGCAGATATGCAAAGGATTGGACATTAAGAAGAACCTCGTCATAACTGTAAGTTAAGGATGCCTAATGAACCAATAAAAAAGACTTTGTGGAGTTGCTCTGTCTGCTTTATACCCATCCAGAGAGTAATAAGCAGAACAATTATTGTCCACTGCTGCTGAGGAGTGGCTGGCCAAGGCAGCAGATGGCCTTCATGAGGCCTCCACAATGGCTCTGAAGAGCCAGCGGCTGCCTTGGCCTGGCATGCCTCACAGCAGGAGGAGGAAGATACAGCAGGTTAGCAAGAGATGGCAGGGGCGACAGAAAGCAGAGCAGCCAAAAGGGCAGAGATGTGGGAGAGATAGGGGGAAGTTGAAGCTCACCATGCACTTGTAAATGCAAGCAGGTTGCCAAGTACCTGAATTTTGATCACAAGGCTCTGCAACAGCCATAACTTGCAAACTGATTGTAACTACCATGGCTTATGATCTGTATTTGCATTTACAACGGTCACTCCAGCCTTACAATCACATGTTTGCAATTGGAATGCTTGACAACTGGATCATATTTATGACTGATAGAGTGTCCTGTAGGCCCTAATTGTGACCTTTTTTGCCGATTTTCAACATAAAATGCCCATTGGGAAATCTGGATTTGCCTAATGACCTCGGTATTCACTGAACCACTGCATGATTTACTTAATCACCTCTATAAAAATTACCACAGAATAGAGTTCAGCTCAATTTACCACCACAACAGCTTACAGAAATTTTGGTTGTAATTGTTTTCATGATTTGAGGACTATTGTACTATTAGGTTGCTTATAATAACCAAAAGGCCTTTCTAATACTAGTCTGACTACACTTATTTGCTCCCTGATTATAGTCTTTTCTGCACATTGATTGCAATTCTAATAATATACAATGCTTTTCCATTCTCTCTTCAGGAATTAGCAGTTCCTGCTGTCCATGATGGGGGAGCTCTTTTGGCTTTTGTCTCTGGTGCGGTCTACATTTTTCTTCAGACAGTTATCTCTTACAAATCACGTCCACAATGGAGCACTCCGTGTGTATGTCACACAAGATTATTTCTCTCCGTAATGACTTGGGTAGCTGTCATTCCCAGTATCCTTTTTACAGGATATTAATATGTCAAAGTTCTTAACAATAGAAGCACCACATTTTTAAGTCAGCTTACTATTTCTATATTCAGTTTTACAGTATTTCTCTGAAAGGGACAAAATTGTACAGCTCGTAACATGCGAAACTGAGATATAAGCTATGTTTATAAAACAATCAGACACTGGGAGAGACGCATTAGACATAAGATACCCAGAGGTATAGCATGTTCCAGGTACATGTTGAAACCATTTTCAAGATACGCAGACAGTCCTCGAGATATGACTGTCATGGAGCCCCTCCCCATTATGGTCTCATGTTCCAATGGTATTAAATGAACCATTTTACCTAATGTCTTGTACATCCCCAGTGCAATTGTTAAACGAACATATGAGTGATTAAGTGCAGCACTGGGTGCCTCTGGGATGGGGGAGGCCCTTGAAGGGATGGGGGAAGCCCTGCCTGCCTGGCCCTCCAAGGCCTCTCCCACCCCAGAGGCACCCAGTGCTCTGCTACCTGTCCCTGGGAGTTCCCCAGGCCTCAGCCTGCTCCCAAGCCGGCCATTCAGCCAGGCAAGGGAGCTTAAAGCTGTCACACATAGGAGATTTACAGCTTGTAAGCCAAGGCCTGATTCCCATCCACCTGCCCAATGGACCTGCTCCTCGCCCAGTTCCAGGGCCCAGCAGTACCAAACTTAACTTTTCAATTTTTGCAGAGATGCCTCCTGGTCAGTGCAATGCAATGCGAGGCTCAACTTAGATTTCTTGCCGAGGCTTGCCAGCCCTTGTGCTATTCTCCTAGCAAGTAGCACTTATCATGAGGTTGTAGGGGCCTGCTTTTTCTTCCTTTTTCTTTTTTTCAGAAGGCTCCATAAACTAGGGAGCCTCTTTAAAAAAAACAGAGCCTTCTATAGAAAGAAGTACGGCTTGCTGGGGAATAGCACAAGGTTGCCGTGAGGTTGGAGCCTGAGCTTTGCATTGGCTTGGGTCTTCTGCAAAACCAGAAAGGATAATGGTGAACTTTATCATTATCTTTAAAAATTTAAATACCCATTCTCGATACTGAAATTAGGAATCCAAGAGATTTCAGAATCTAAGGAAAGTTTACATTCATGGCGTCTTTATATTGAGTGGGCTTGCTAACATGCCCATGAACAATGGTTATTGTATACCACCACAAATCGTAAGTTTATAATTCTATTATTAACAGACATCAGTTCTGCCTTCATGTACACATGCCATTATTACTATTTTTATTTCCGTTTGATTAATGATATTTCCTTTCATTATTTCATATGTTATGTATTGTATATTGGTAAAAGGAATGTAATTTTATATGTTTTTTTTTAAATCAATTGTTTCCTCTTAACTCCTTTTTCTCAGTGATTGCATGTGCTTCATTAATATCCATTACAAAAATAGATTGGATTCCAGGTGAAAAGGTAATCATATACTAGGTAAAAAATTAATATTTCTACCCCAGTTTAACTTTATGTATTAGTTTTTTTTTTTTACTAAAATACTTAAGGAAACAGATAACCAGAGCTGCTTTTTTTGCATGTTGCTAATACTATATAATAGGTTGTGACATATGTTTTAAATTTTAAGGTTTGCCTAGATTAGTTGTGGCGAATCTATGGCACGCTTGCCACAGGTGGCACGCAGAGTCCTCTCTGTGGGCACATGCACCGTCGCCCCAGCTCAGCTCTACCAGGCATGTGCACACTCCTCCTGCCAGCCAACTGGCCTTCAGGTCGCACATGTATGGGGGCGCACGTGCAGGCAATGGGGCGCATGCGCAAGGGCGCATGCATGCACAGGGTGTGTGGGTATGTGCGGGGCGGGGGTACATGCACAAGAGCGCGCCTTGCATTTTGGGTATGTGTGCCACTGGCCTAGATAGATACGTGTAGGCTTTTAAACAGTGCTTTTTGATTCTTAACTCAGTGGTGTTTAACTTTCTGTAAATATAGGTCACCTGAGATATATTTGGTCAGAGTCTTAGATTTGCTAATAAATTACTCCTATCTCATGGTTTTTTTTTATGAGAAAATTGTGATGAAATTAAGAGTTGTAGCTATAGAGACTAAAAGATAACAGAAGTTTGGAACACTTAAATCATTTTAGGAAGCAAAACCTCCTTTAGAAATATTATGGAAAATAAGAAATCAGTAGCGGTATTAAAACCAGGAATCATCATTTATGCTTAACTTCAATAAATGCGTAAATTACAAATACATTTGTAGATGAATAAAACTATTGAATCTTAACTCTTGTTCAGGTTCTTTTCTTGGCTGAAAATTTGTTGTGCTTCATTCTCATCTTCCAATTTGCTTTTTAGAAAAATCATATAAAAATCTAGATATTTCATCTATATTAAGATATAGATGAGGCATTGTCCTTTTTTGTACACATTTTTCTTTGATAAACACATTTTAAATATTGTACTTTTTTTTAGCAAAACCAAGACCTACATTGTTAAATTCTGAAAAGTACAGTTTTCAGTGTGCAAGTGCATTCTGGTTCACATATAGATTTGAGAACTGTGAAATTATTATTTTTTTGTAAAAGTTCAAACAAAACAAATGTCTCCTGTGTAAAGACTTGCACTTGGAGAATTGAGGTTTGTGTAAATTCTCCTTTCAGAATAATCCATGGCTATTTGCCTCTCACCCAAAGGCCAGGAATGGAAGGTTGTCAGTCTAATATTCAGAACAAAAGGACACTTTGCCCGAACTACTTGCAAATCTGAACTCTGACCAGGTATGCCTCATGCAACCTATATTGATAGAAATTATCTCTCTCTTTTTAAAAGAATTATTGCCTTTTTGCTCTGAAGATATAGATGCACATGCATCCTTAAAATAATATAATCTGGTCTGGCAGATGATTTGAGATTATTCTTCCTAGAATTTTCCCTTAGATTGGTGAAAGGTGAAATATTGTTCTACAGTTGTATAATATCTCAGCAACTAATAGTAGTATTGTTAGTATTAATGTTCTTTTAATTTGTTTTTAATAGTAATTGTGGTTGTCCAATTTATCTTTTAGTTGCCCAGAGTCAGTGTAAACTTATAAATTTATAGGGCCAGTTTGGTGCAGTGGTTAAAGGCATCAGGCCAGGGAGTGGGAGACTGTGAGTTCTAATCTCACTTTAGGCACAAAGCCAACTTGGTGACCCTGGGCCAGTCGCTTTCTCTCAGCCCTGGGAAGCAGGCAGTGGCAAACTTTCTAAATCTTGCCAACAAGAAAACAGCAGGGACTTGTCCAGGCAATATCCAGGAGTCAACAAATGCCTTAAAGGCATAAAAATAAAATAATAATAATAAATCTATGTAATAAGTGAATGAAATGATAGCTCAGAATGAAATGCATGCTGTCATGTATATGAATAAGTGTCAGAATACAGGACAAGTACATTATTTTCTCATATTAGGGCAGTGTGTGTGTTTGTGTGTTTGTGTGTGTATGTGTGAAGAGTGGTATGGTGGCCTACAGGTGGAGCTCTTGCCTCACAATCAGGAGGCTGTGAGTTTGATCCTAGGTAGAGGCAGATATTTCTCTTTCTGGACATGTTGAGGATATATCTGCTGAATATAACTCCACATTGGTGACAGGAAGGGCATCCAGCCAGTAAACACTCAGCTCCGTTCAGTTGCCCAGACTCCATCCCGCAAGGGATTATGGGGTCGTTAAAAGATGATGATGATGTGTGTGTCAGCATTTTTCTTTCTTGTGAAAAACAATTTTGTTCCTGGGACACAAAATCTAATCAATATGGCCATTTTAACACTCGTTGTTTACAGAACATCCTTAAAAATCCATGCCATGGTGAAATCTTCCTTTCATTCTTCTATTATAGTGTACAAAGCAAACCTTATATCAACTTATAAATCCCCATGAAACTCTCAACTGGAGCCCTTTTTGGGGCCCTCTGCTGTTTGACCAATCCATTGCTATTTGTTTTGTCCTAGCAGATGATCCAAAGAAGGTGCTTATCTAGTTCCTAGGAAAATACCACAAATTTTCCAGCTTGTTTTTCCCCCTGTTAAAAATCTTGTCATAGAAAACATTGTCATGATGTCAAGAACTTACATTTCATTTTTTTTAATTAAAAAAAAAACCTGAAATAATTCAAATAATAACAACTTGAAATGGCCGAGAGCAATGATTTTCAAGAAAATAGCAGTAGCAATAGACTTATATACCGCTCTATAGTGCTTTTCAGCACTCTCTGAACAGTTTACAGAGTCAGCGTATTTCCCCGGACAATTGGGATCCTCATTTTACTGATCTCAGAAGAATGGAAGGCTGAGTCAACCTTGAGCCATTCAGAATCAAACTCCAGACTGTGGGCAGAGTTAGCTTGCAATACTGCATTCTAACCACTGTGCCACCACAGCACCAGTATTTGTCATATCTTGTATGGGTGCTTGTAGAAGCTTAGTAATGAAAAATGATCCAGGTATAGAGTGTTTTATGTTTTAATATTAGGTTTTCACCAGAGATAAGCCACGTAGGAAATGTCTAAGTGCTAAGTGTACTGAAACTCAGTAAAGCAAGAAGATTGTTTTCATTTGATTACAACAGTGGTTCATGTAATGGGCTTCTTTCAGTGAAATAGAGAAAGAAGCAGGCTTCGAAGTTTTCTCCTCTTCCCAAATCTCTTTTAAGATTGGGGGACAATCTTCCAGAACAACATGGAGAATGCAGGAGGGTAATTACTGACAATTACATTCTTTTTCCACTGATGAGACTTCTGCTGAATCAAAGAGACTCCTGCCTGTGAAGGAACACTAATTGGATGAAATTCTAAATCAATAAGTACTTATCTACCACACTGTGCATCTGGTATATACCGTGTTTTCCCGAAAATAAGACCTATTCTGAAAATGAGCCCTAGATTGATTTTACACATGTGCCCAATATAAGCCCTATCCCCCAAATAAGCCCTAGTTAAGACTCTGCCCACTCTGTTGCACCTGGTTGCAAGGCATACAGGTATGAATCAAGCGAGGGTGAGGATGGGTGGTGGTGGAACTGCTTACCTTCGGACAGTTGCAGCCAGGACTCGCACATTCCGACACCTGCCTTGCCAGCCCCCTTCTTCTGAGGCTGTTTGCTGCCGCTTGCGTGCATTGCCCTGCCTCCATTTCACTGTCAGAGACCTTCAGGAAAGGCCTCTGCAGCCAATAAAAGAACTCCAGATTGATGTGCACAGCGCCCCCTGGCCTCTGTTTTGCCATCAGAGGCCTTCAGAAAAGGCCTCTGCACCAATCTCCAGATTGGTGCTTGCCTCAATCCAGAGCTTATTTTTTGGCTGTAGAGGCCTTTCCCGAAGGACTCTGATGGCGAAATGGAGGCGAGCGGCAACAAAAGGCTGCAGTAGAAGTAGGTCGGCAGCGGCCACATGGGCTCCTGGGCAGGGCTGTTAGTGCTGCCGCCACAAGGTGAGTCAGTAGAAGACATCCCCTGAAAATAAGACCTGGTGTCTTATTTGGTGGCAAATATAAAGACCGGGTCGTCTTTTCGGGGAAACACGGGTAATTTGCTATCTCTATACTTGACTTACCTTTTGTTTGCCATTGCAAACAATTTAATGGCTCTATTTAATGGATTTTTATGTATATATTTCTTCCACTAGGATTATGTGTACCATTTTATAAGTGCAATCTGCGAATGGACAGTAGCCTTCGGCTTTGTGTTCTTCTTCTTAACGTATATCAGAGACTTTCAGGTAAGCATGCACGACTATCAGGATGGTAAAATTCACTGAAGTAATTCCTGTAGTAAGGGATTTGAAACCAGATAAGCCTGGTTGCAAACCCTTCACGGCCCACAGGTTGCAGACCCCTGGTATAACCTCTTTATAGAGACACTGATAGTTGCAAATTACATCTCTGAGTGCTTGTCTAAGCTGAAGTCCAGTGACTAGTGTACTAACCACTCATCTGCAAAGAGTATGTGGATTTACTAGAACATGGGAGTTTATTAGAAATTTTGAAAGTTGGGAGAAAGTTGGGTGAAGCCCTAACTAATGCTTCAGAAATTTTCCAAGCTTATTTGGCCAGGAATTATTGTAGAAACAGAAAGGGGGAAAAGAAACAGGGGCTGAGGTATTGACTCAAGCAATAAAGCCTGAAACATTTAAAAAAATGGAACTAACCAAACTAACAAGCTGTGTGAATGCAGCTGTTAGATCTTGAAGTGACCTAGTTAAGTCATCTTTCATGCCACATTTTTTAGAATTGTTTCTGAAAAATTATCACCTATGCTTAGAACTCATTAATAGTGTTAGTACCCCAGAAATGTATATTAGTGAGCCTGTGGTGTATTACATATGGTCCTCACTTATTGACTGCCTTGTTCAGCAACCATTCAAAGTTACTGTGGTCCTGTCCCTCAGACACATGATCATCATTAGAGTCAGTACGCATTGTCTTGTGCCTGACATATTATTTCCTTTTCCCCCTTGCAGAGCAGAGATTGGAAAGAAAGGGATTACAAGAGAGTAAGCAGGCACACAATGGGGCAGTTTGTGTAGTATGCTCATCGCTGCCAGCATCTGTGCATTGCTTTCAATATGTATTCCCCATTGTATGCCTGCTTACTTTCTTGCAATCCCTTCCTCTCCAATAAATGTCAATACAGACATTAATTCCTTTCTTGTTAATTATCTCAATGCTGGGTGAGCAGGATAGTGGTTTTGAGGCAAATTAAAGCCAGTTTCATCTAATAGTAATAGCACTTATAAAAGCGCTCCACGGTGCTTTGCAAGCCCTCTCTAAGGGGTTTACACATATTGTCCCCAATAATCTGGGTCCTCGTTTTACTGACCTCGGAAGGCTAGAAGGCTGATTTGTTACGGCATCATGTTAGAAACCAGGAGACTGTGAGTTCTAGTCACCATTTTAGGCATGAAAGCTAACTGGGTGACTTTGAACCAGTTGCATTCTCTTAGCCCAACCCACCTCACAGGGTTGTTGTTTTGGGGAAAATAGGAGGAGGAATGATTATTAGGTATGTTGTCTGTCTAGAGTTATCCATAAAATGAGGAAGGCCGAGTATAAATAAAAGTCAAGATATGAAACTGATTAATCCTGTCAGTTATGAGCCAGCTGTCCCAGCACTGTCTAGATAAGCATTTGCAGGAAGTGGAGAAAATGAAAGCACAATTGTGACCATATGATTTCCCCTTCGGAGGTTGCTTTGCTCAGTGGTAGAGTTGCTGATCCCACTGAATCCAATTGTGGTACCTAAATGAAGACTACCTGTATTTAGCCATTTGCATTGGAACACAGTTATGGTTATGGCATTTAAAATATTAGCAAATTGTTTTAAGAGTTCATTTCAGATTTTAGTTGCAGCTGTTTGAGGGAGTAAATGCATCTCCCCTAATTCCAAACTTGGTATCTCCTGTTTATAATTAAATGTGTGCTTTGTAATGATTTGCTGATTTTTGCCTTTTCTTATAATTTTCTCTTCTAGGGAGTTACCATACAGATATCAACAGAAATTCAGGGAAACCTCTGACCACTTTTTGTTACAGTTAGCTGGATTGGTGTGTGTGTGTGTGTTATAAACTGTTGCAATGGCCAAGATTGACCTGGCATCAACTTGATGCATCACTGCTGCAAATTGTTATAATTGTTGTCAAGAAAAAAGGTTCTTTTTAATTTTAGGCTTTTAATTTTCCTGTGTAACCAATCTACTAATAATCTTTTGTATTATAAATACCTTTTCAGTTTTTTTTTTAAATAGAGGACCTCTGAAATATGTAATCGCTAAGGAATAAATGTTTATCTACTGTAATATCTCCTTTTTATCTGTTTGGTGAATAAAGATAAAGAATAAAGAAACTAAAGCTGCAATTCCAGCTACCAATTACTTGGAAGATTCCGGTTGAATTCAATGGGCCTTTCAGGTCAGGGGTTCCCAATCTTTTCTATATAGCCCACAACCCTAGAACACTTCTGATAAAGTCTAGCATCCCTTACAAAAGTAAATAATTATATGCATATAATTATGCATATACGCTATAATTTTGAAACTTCTAAACCCAAGTTTTCACACCCCCTGAAATATCGTCTCGCACCCCCAGTTGGGAATCCCTGTTTTAGGTGAATGTACTTGGAAAAATATGTCAAAATGTCATGAAGTTACAGTCTCCTCACATCTTCAGAGAGCCAGCCTGAGGAACATTGGGTCATATATTAGATATCAAAATGGCTACATCACAGATCAGAAATAGGAGCACACTGTTATGAAATCAATAGGATTTAAGCAGACATCAACAGAAAAACAGTTGGAACCTATAAATATTTATTTATGTATAATGCCCACCGAGTTTAGCAGAAATTATGCCCAGGTAAGAGCAAAAAGGGAGTTTGCAAAGTTTCCCTAGAAAGTAGATGGATTTTGTTTATCATTAGTATTATCAACTTTATTTCTTTGGGATTTTTATAAATAGAGAAGGAAAATTAGTGTCTGATAGAGAAAATCTATTCTAGATAAGTGATTTTTATAAGTGCTGAGCAATTTTTTTTTAGATGCAGAAATCACATTTTATTTTGATGGGAATAATGGTACAAAAAAGTTATATGTTGCTGCCAGATGTAAATGGAGGGGATAACGTACTGTAGATTGTAGAAATTGTAAATTATATATCACTATAAATACAGTGATATAATTACTGTACAGTTAATAGGCAGAAAACTCTGCAAGAATAGGAATTTTGTGTAATTTAGTTCTGTTAGGGCATTATAGAGACCTTTGCCTAGAGACAAAAAAAAAAATTAAGTAGCATTTTAGAAAATCCATATCCCAAGGTATAATTATATCTTTTTATTAAAAACAACCAAATGAGCAAGCAACTATTTTGTTCAAGAAGCAGAATTCCAACTTTTCTTAAACTCAAGTATCCCATCAGCTGAAGATTAGGGTTCTACAGGACATCAAGGACTGCATTCCAGAAGAGAGGTCTAAATTTTACTAATTTCTATATGATCAAGTGATCATAGTAAAGATTTCTGGGAGTTGAAGTCCATAGATCCTAAAGTCACCAAGTTCGAAAAACATTTTCCTGGAGCAATTACTGTCCCTCTGGTCTTTTTTTGAAGTAATTCTGGCAGAATATTGTGCTTAACCCTGTTTCTGCACTGTTAAAAAAGCAGATCATTTACATATTCCTAGCATAGGAGATCTAAACAGGTTTTCCCCAATAAAGCCCAACAATCTAAGCCAGTGGTGTGATTTTTTTTACTACTGGTTCTGTGGGTGTGGCTTGGTGGGCGTGGCAGGGGAAGGATACTGTAAAATCTCCAGTCATTAGTGGTATTTGCCGGTTCTCCGAACTCAAAATTTTCACTTCAGTTCTCCAGAACTGGCCAGAACCTGCTGAATACCACCTCTGATCTAAACCATCAGGTTGGTTTAGCTGTGAAGAAAAATGGGCATTGCGAGTCTACCAATTTACTGTCTGCACTAGAGATTATTTTTATTTTGGCAATCATGCTAATACAGTTGTATTTTTCACATAGGAAGCATCTAATAAAGGTCATATGTATGTTTAAAGAAATCTGTTAAAAGGAGAATATTCCCTTTTGTCTGGCATCCCTCTGCTTTGTAGATCACTGCCACTAACCTTATTGGCTAGCTCATATCGCTGATGATGTAAAACTATTCAACACTACCGTCAATACTACCGTCCTTCAAAAAGACCTTGATTATGTGTCTGAATGGTCTAACAGTTGGCAACTCCAAATCTCGACCAACAAATGCTCTGTCCTACATATTGGTTAAAAAAAATCTATATACCAAATACAAGCTAGGCGGATATAACCTTGTTGATGACCCTCACTCTGTCAAGGACCTTGGAGCTCTCATAGCAAATGACCTAAGCGCCAAAGCTCACTGCAACAGTATTGCCAAAAAGACTTTACGAGTTGTAAATTTAATTTTATGAAGTTTCTCCTCTGGTAATACTGATTTGCAAACTAGGGCATTCAAAACTTTTGCTAGACCAATACTTGAATTCAGCTCTGCTGTCTGGAATCCGCACTGTATATCAGACATAAATACAATTGAGTGAGTCCAGAAGTATTTTACCAGAAGAGTACTACATTCCTCTATTCGCAACAGAATATCCTACACCACCAGATTTGAGATTCTAGGCTTAGACAACCCTGAACTACACCGTTTAAGACTGGACTTAAGCATAGTACATAAAATCATATGTTACAACATCTTACCAGTTAATGAATATTTCAGCTTTAACCACAACAAAAGCACACAACAGATATAAACTTAATGTTAACCACTCCAAACTTGATTGCAGGAAGTATGATTTCAGCAACAGAGTGGTCAATGTTTGGAACTCGCCACCAGATTCTGTTGTCAGCTGCTCAAACCTCCACTCCTTTACCCTCAAACTAACCTCTATTGACCTCACCCCATTCCTAAGAGGTCTGTAAGGGGCGTGCATAAGCTCACAATAGTGCCCACCATCCCTGTCCTATTGTCCCCAATTATTAGTTCCTATTTCTTATATTTAAACATGTTTATTATTTCTATTGTATTGTAAGCTTTTAACAAAATAAATACATAAATAAAAATATTACACTAAAGTTCAGAATTCTGAGTTGAATTTGTGAGTTTGCACTGTAGTCCTGATGAGATATGTCAGAGGCAAATTTGAATGTTTATCCAAGGATGCTGTCTCTGTGAAGAGACAGTGAAGGAGATACGTTCTTCTCTTGCACATTAAGGTAATGTGAAGTAGGTCTTTCATGTGTATGGTTCTTAATCCACAAGAACAGTACATGCAAGGCACAAGAGTCCTTAAGGATTTTACTCTACTAGTCAACTGAAGGTGGCAGTGCTCATCCTTGTCTCAGCGCTATCCGAAGACATTTCTGCAGTCATGTGGCCGGTATTACACCACAGAGCACTGTTAACCTTCCCACCAAAGTGGTATCTATTTATCTACTTGCATTTGCATGCTTTGAAACTGCAAGGTTGGCAGGAGCTTAGGTGAGGACCGGAGCTCGCTCTGTTGTGTGGCTCTTGGGTCCTGAACCTGGGTTGCCAGCTTTCTAGCCAACCAGCCCAGCAACTAAGCCACTGTATCGCCCTGCTATATGCGTATAGGAAAGAATAATTGCATCCTGATTTCTCTTACATAGAAATGAATGGGGGGAGTTTGAATGAAATGCCATTTTCTTTTAGCGAGAAATTTAAAAGCCACTACTATATGGTTTTACACTGCTGACTAGAGGAGACACACACCATTTTTTCCCATGAAATATAATTAATTAAAATAAAATATGTGGAAGTTGAAGATTTACCAAACCAAAAGCTTTGTTTGAAAAGTCAATATATTGGTAATACACACACACATTCTTTCTCTCTCTCTCTCTCTCTCTCTCTCTCTCTCTCTCTCTCCCCCTCCCTCCCTCCCTCCCTCCCTCCCCTCTCTCTCCACACCCCTATATACCATTTATTATCTCTTATCTGTCTATCACCATCCATCCATGTAGAGATTGCAGGTGTTAAATTTTTAATGTTCTCCCTACTTCACAATAGATGGCACTAATGGACTACAGTCAGAATGCTTAGTAACATAAATGCTTGAATAAGAAAGCTTCTCAGGAATATCCTAGGGAAAAATACATGTGCGGACAGTTTGAATTTTTATCAAAAAGCCACCCACAAGACATTTTCTTGGATGACTTGGGAAAAGCAACTGCTAACTTGAATCTACACAAATTAATATTGCTTTCAAATGGAATTATGGCCATATTTCTGTAGTCTAAATTCTGCTGTTAAAAAAAAGGCAATTTTTGTGAAGAAGCAGTTATTCATTCTGCCTTTACCTACAATCATATAGAAAGTGCACCCCCAGCTACACTAAAATTCTGTACAGAAATTTACTATGATTTTATTTGTTTAGCATATGGCACGTGTTAGCCATGGATCACCAAGATGGCTGGCTGCCTCTGTGAAAGGAATTTTTCTGGCGGTGTTATCTTTATCTGTGGGATGCCTGAATGCCGGTAGGCACTTGGGGAAGGCTCCTTTCTTGTCCCTCCGCGGTTTATTCACTCAGAAATCGAGCCGCCAAGCTGTCGACCTCAGCAGCACGCAAGTCCGGCATCTTACCATGTGAGCCACCGCAGCCCCAATTTACTATGATGAAGATGGGCTTTAAAAAGTCAGGCCAAATATAATCAGCTCTTCTAGTAGCACACCAAAATCTGAGGGCACCTTTGCTTAGAAACACCTGGCCCTGTGCATAAAGTTCTGGATATTTACTCTAGCAAAGTTCTCCTCAACTTCAGCAACTCTTAAGATATGTGTGGACTTTCAACTCACAGAATTTTCTCTGGTACTATTACACTAATAACTAGAGCATACAAAACATTTGCTAGACCAATACTCGAATACAGCTCATCAGTCTGGAACCCACATTACGTATCTGATATTAACACAGTTGAGAAAGTCCAGAAACATTTCACAAGAAGAGTTCTCCACTCCTCTACTCATTGCAGAATACCTTATGCCACCAGACTTGAAATTCTAGACCTAGAAAACCTAGAACTACGCCTTCGGTCCGATCTAAATATAGTATATAAAATCATACATTGCAATGTCCTACCAGTCAATGAATACTTCAGCTTCAACCATAACAACACAAGAGCAAACAATAGATAAACAGCCAAGGTTAATCGCACCAAACTTGATTGCAGGAAATACGACTTCCGCAACAGAATGGTCAATGTCTGGAATGCTCTACCTGACTCTGTGGTTTTTTTCCCCAAACCCCAAAAACTTTAACCTTAGACTGTCT